ATTATTTCCCTTTCAGCTTATGTATTTAGATCTCTTTGGAGTTTAAACTTACACTCTGAAGCTATCCTTGAGGATGACTGTAATCCTTAATTACTCTTGACTGCTTTCCTATATTATGCATGTGGACGTCTTTATTATATATGCTTTCTATATAATTGGGTGTCACAATTTTTAAATTAAAATGTTTATTTTTGTTTGAATTTATTTATTTTTAAATTAAATTAATTATCTATAATAAAAAAATAGAACACACATGTGTGCTTCTGCTAGTGTGTATATATATATATATATATATATAATTAGTTAATTTTCTTATAAATAAAAAATAGTTTATATAACAATTTGGAAAATCTATAATAAAACCTCTCTTTATATGGAATAGTTTTGACTCATCCAAAATAAAAAACAATCTATCTCCTCCATATATACATCTATGAGAAGAAGGGATTCATTTCCTTCAATAATTAATAAGTAAACAACATTATTCTTAATCTAAGTTTTTTTATTTAATTTTAAATTGTCAGTCCAGATCAATAATAAAGACCAGGTGTAACAATTTCTCTCTCATAGAATAAATAACATTTAATAGAGATGTGTGCATAATCGATGTTTGCAATTGAATGTTCTCTTTATAATGCTAGTTGATAAATACATATTATAACCTATGCTAAATATAAAGATGAAAGGTATCAAAACTTAAAAGAATTGGAAAGATGCAACTTTCAATCCTTGTGATTTACATACTTAACAATGACTGAAAAAGAAATTAAAGGCAATAAAAAAAAATAAAAGGTCAGGCCATGAAAAAGCATGTAAAACAATCTTTACAATTATTTGTCTTTCCTTGTATTCATTGATAAATTTTGCATCTCATGATCTTTTATTTTTTTAATAAATAATTTAATTCATTATAGTAAGTAATTTAATTGACTGTGATATCAAATAATAACTCAAATTACACACATAAACCACATATATTTCATGAACTAAAAATATATAGGTAAACCATATAAATACAATAATAAACACATTATTTCTTGTGAATAATTTTTCTTCGTCAATTTTTTTTCACTAAATGTTTTGCTGCAACACTTATCTTTTTACATCTCATATATGATACACTTGCAAGTATGACATGATTGTGGTAATTCATGAATGATTTAGTAACTTCATTGTTTTTTAATGGTTTTTTGAAACAAGAAGCAAAACTTGACAATATTTATAAAAAGTTGAGTTTTTTTTTTTCTTACAAATGTTGTCATGATTTATTCACACGATTTTTCATTTTGTGTTAATCTTGACTACAACATACTTTCCTTTTTCTTTTTACTTGATCACGTATTTCAAAACTTTCTTTTTTTACAAATGAAGTGTAAAGATTTCCAACCCTTTTAATATATTCAAACTTCATCCTAACACATGGTTCGATTATAAATTCTTCACCAACATTTAAAGAATGTAATGACAACTTCTTCATTTAAAGAATGTAATAACAACTTCTTCAAGGAAGTAACTATATTAGTAAACATAACTTCTTCAAAAAGAAAAAAACTTTATCTTTTTGCAGCTTCTAAGCATACAAGAATAAGAAAATAGTTCAAAATCAAATACAACTTCTAAACATACGTGAGAAGAAAACATTTACAGACAATTGAGAAGGAAAAATTACAATATATGTTTGATTTTACATGTATTATATATATATATATATATATATATATATATATTAACAAGAGCCATGAAAAATATAACATATGTTAGTTGATATCCTCATCTTTTATTCTTTGTTTTCTTCCATCTTTATTTTAACATAAGATATCATATTTATCAATGAAGATAAAAGAAGGAAAGAGAAAAAAACATTTAATTGCAATATAAGTTATCGATGATGCATACATTTCTACCAATCAAAATATTATTATTTTTATTATTTCTTCAATGAAAAAAAAACTAAATACACCCAATTATTGTTAATTGATTTGAGTTATTAATTTAAAATTAAATTAAAAATTTAGGCTAAGAATAATTCTTTTATTTACTATTGAAACAAATGTATCTATTCTATGTCTGTTTATATATATATATATATATATATATATTTTTTTTTTTTTTTATTTTTATTTTTTTTTGGTTTTCCTTTTACACTTAAATTAAATATGATTAATGAAAGAATCTAAGGAGAGATAGTATAATGCTAGTAACCACCAATTAATGTTTTGACTTTTGTTTTTATATAGTTATTATGTCTTAAAACAGTTATATTTAAGATATAGTAAGATGATTAATGGTGGAATGTCTTTATTTAGGTATTTTGATCTTGTTTCAACACTTGGTGAACTCACTTTTTTTTAGTAATGCATCAAATTAATACAAAAACCATGACAACTAAAAATAGAATATATCTAACTCAATTGTTTTTATAACACTTTACTGTATGTATAACATGAAAAAAATTATAATAACTGATAAAAATAATATATCTTCCAACATTGTCACCTCAATTATTGTTACCTATAAAAGTTAAGTTTACCTTACATTTATATACCTAAACACATTATACACAGAGATAATATAGAGATATATTGTACAGGCTTAGTTTCATGTTTTTCTCTATCTTTTTTTTCTCCATTCCGATTTTTGCATCAAACTTCCTTTCGGCCAATTTCTCCACATTTTTTCGAAGTTGTAAATTTTGTTGTTGAACCATATATGATTATTAAAACTTTAAATGGTGCTAAAACTTTCAAAAAATTTTCAGCACCAATAAATTGATGTATTCAAAATAGCCACAATGCCTCTATTAGCATGCATGTCTTAGTGACTATATTCAAATCTAAGGGAGGAAGCCATCCTAAACCTACTTAATCGGAAACATCTTATAACAACAAACCGTAACCAAACAGGAAGAGTGAGAACATAGCTGTTTAAAGAGTGGCTTGTGTTGCATAAATTGCGATTGTTGATGTCGTGGAAGGATTTCGGAAGAAATTCTTAACATATTCAATAAGCGATCAAAAAAGTCAGAGATGATGTATAACAATGATGACAGAAGAATAGAATATAAAAAAACCTTAACAATAAATCAATAATTAATGAAAAAAATTATTAAAAAAAAAGAAAATGAAAAGGGTAGACCAGAAATATTTTTAATGTAGAAAATTATCAACAAAAAATAAATAAAAAACACTAATCATTTAAATTAAAGAAATAATTTTACTTTGATTAATGAAAGGTGTACATAGAATTTTTAACAAATGCAAACAATCAGTCAAAACAAAAAAATAAATAGGTAATAAACTATCTTTCTCTAACTTTCAAGACATCTAATCAATAATACAAATTCTAAAATAAAATAAATAATATTAAGAATCTGTTTATGTAAAAATTAGTTCAATCAAAGAATGAAAAAAAGAGTGAAAAAATTCCTAATTGAACTTCGAAAATATAGACTATTGTAGACATGCAACAATATCAATATATTTTCTTCTCTTATCCCTAGTTTAATCCTTTTAATTAAATAAGTAAACTAAACAAGTTTTACACAGTTTATTTACGTGAAGGTTGGGAGAACTGCATCCACAGTAATGCTGTAAAATGTGCAACAATATATTCTCTGCTGTGAACCTTTTCTAATATTCACTATAATTGTTCCTCTGAATCTTTTATCTTTTTTTATTTGAATATGATCTTCAACTACCATTTCTTTTAAACCACTGTTTTAAGGAAGTAGTAGATGAATTCAAACCAGCATTCTTCACCAGAACCAACTACAATTGCAATGTCCACGTTAAATGGAAAATGGAAAAGCTAGTAATAAGTTTGATTGCTTGAATAAAAAATTGAGAGACTGAATTCCATGAAAGAAAATTTTATGATGAGAAAATAAAATCCTCCCATGCCTCAAATAAAACATAAGTACAAGTTTAAACAGTTAATTCATTCATATATATAAAAACTTATGACAATAGCTAGCAGATTTTTCTTTAAGGTGGCTTTGACTGCCGCAAAAACTATGCTGGTCAATGTATGTATAAAGGCACTGATTGGACATCCGAACTTCGTCTTATTGTTGACCAAAATAATATTTTTCACTATCAACCAAGTCAGAAAAAACTAAATATTAACAATCAAACCCTTTAATGGTAAAAGATTATAAAATAGAAAAAACAATTTTTTTTTTCTAAAAAAAAATGTACATTTTCGATCCCCTTTGTACATTTTAGATTAAGTCCCATCGAACATTTCTTTTACTTTCTCAATTTTCAACTTAAACCCAGAGCAAGTAACCCTGGCTGTATCCCCTCAAGTGATACTGGAAATGAAAACTGCAAATAAAATACGACCACAGAGAGACCTGAATTTCGATTATTGAGGTCTTTCTAAAAATGCTAAAAGCAAAAAAGTATATTTCAGGTGTGCAACCAAGACGAATTTCCAGTTGTTCTTTAAAAAATGAACTTCGGAACTAAATACTAAGCCTGCCTCCTGTTGTTATGTAAAATATAATATAGCATCAGTCACCACTCATCATATCTATCAATAAGTACATGTAAGTGTGGTATTTGAACATTCCCAGTCTAATGCTTACAATTTTATAGTAGAAAATCATTTGAACAGGCAGATGATGTTATCTTTTATACTCCAAATCAGAATTTGTCTTTTATGCAAAGTTGATAATGATTTGATTAAGCTAATGGATGCAAAAAATAAGAGAAACCTAATCAAACCAAATAACAGAGGAAAACATAATATACATACGGAAAGATCAAAAGCATGCAATGATTGCAGTTAACTTTCAACCTCATCAGTGTCTTCCATCAAAGTCGGCTTGGAGCCACTAAGGAAGCAAGGAGATGCAGTGCCTCCAATAAATTGAACTGATGATTTGGCTGATTAACTACAAGCACGCTACCCTAAGCCTGTCAAATATGGAAAAGCCTGTCAAACATGGAAAGTCATTTGATGCATCAGAAATAATTTAAGAAACCAACTAGAAGCTCTGAATTGAAAAGATTATCACTGTATTCGACTCTATTAATTAATCTATATATACTCATATGATATCATGTTTTTCTTTCCTTACAGGGATGTAAACTACTAAAAATCAACTAAAGCTGCCCCTTGCATCTAAAACCTAGTGCTGGGAATCAACACAAGAAAACTAGCATAATTGTTGTTGTTATCTTCGTCATTGTTTTCTTCGTCATTGTTTTCTTTTCAAATTCCAATCCAACACCTTCTTCATTGCTTTCTTTTCAAATTTCAATCCAACACCTTCTTCTCCTCTTTACAAAATTTCACTCTCTGTACCTCCTCAAATCTCTAACACTTGTCTGAATTGACTTCACCTCTGCAAGAATCAACCACTTACGGATTAGTTTCTGGTAAAAATCACGGAGCATGTTAAGAGTCAGGTTCTGAATGTAAAAGCTTGCTAAAATCACATTGAAAACATGACAAAGCAAACAAAATAAAAGACAAACAAGGGAAAGAAAGAACCTTCGTAGGTGTATCAGGGATTCTGTATGCATCCGCAGTTATCCCCACCAACCATAAGCCAGGGAAAACACTCTACAAATAAAAGAAACAAAAAAAAATAAGAAAAAGATTTAGAAAAACAGAAGCAGGGAAAAGGTGGAAGGAGAGAAAAGTGAGAAAGTTAAGAGGCATACATCCATTTGTTTCTGGACGTTCTTGGGCCGCTTCCTGGGCCTGCGGGCGGGTCTGGAGCCAGTCATGACGAAGATGTCCTCTTCGATCTCTTCTCTAGAAAGAGCGATCCAGAATTTCCTCTTCTCCTTCTTCTCGGCGCACTGAGTGTCCGCGAACCCTCGTAGCCGGAGGGACTTCGGAGCGGGGTTCTCGCCGTGGTGCGAAACGGCGTCGTGAAACTCTCCCGCGCCGTTGTTGGCGTGGTTCCTTGAAGGACCAGTTCCGATCTCGAGCGCAGACTTGGGGAGCGCGGGTTTGCGGGGTCGCAAGTTCCACGGCTTTTGCACAGCCTCCTCGGCGTCCTCGATGTCGCGCTTCGCAGCTTCGTCGTTAGTTTCATCGTTGCACGACGGCGCCTGAAGTGGTTGTGGTGGTGGAGCTAGCGGCTTGAGGGAGCAGGTGGGGAGTGCGAATCGGTTGCGAGCGGTCCTGGATCCAAGGCGGTGGGGGCGGGAGTCGGGGTCGGAGTCAGGTTCGGAGGCGTGATCGGAGGGGTGGGAGGAGGGGCGGCGGCAGCGGTGGTGATGCGCTGCGTTGGTGTGGTGGTTCTTGCCGCTGGCTCCCCATTTCAAGAAGGGAAGGGCGAATTTGTGCAGAGGCTGGGACTTCACCGGAGGCTGCGCCGGTGCGGTGGACATTCGGAAACGCAGAAAGCTCTGGAAGCTGGGGGAGGATTGTGTGTTTGGAAACGGTGTTGTTGGGAATGAGAGTAAGAAAATGGGGGAAAAGGAAGAAGAGAAGAGGAAGAAGTATGATATATAATGGAAACTTATGACTAGAGAGAACAGAGAGTTGGTTCTTCCTTCCCTGCTCACTCTTCTCTTTGTGTTGCGGTGCTTAAATTCTAATACTTTTTTTCACTTTTTTACCCTTCACCTTTCTCTCTTATTACTTCTAATTCTCCCCTTTTTGGATTTTAGGGTCCCAATCCCACGGCCCACTTCTGGATGCCGCCCCGCCCCAAACCATGTATTTCTTTGCAACCGCGGCGGTCCTAACCCAAACAAAACCACAACTGTTTAATGCCAATTTCTTAGTCAATCTTGCACATCCTAAATCTCATTCTTCACATTTAACCCTAATTCAATCTTCTACTTTCCATCTTATCAAATGCCACTTTTATTTTATTTTTTCAAAACATGAATTTACTTCTTTTATTGTACTCACAGTTTGAATTTGTTGTATATTGTATGAACATGGTAGTTAGTTTAAAATCCAATGATTACACCATTCAAAAATATTTGAATAGACTAGACCGTCTAATAACACAAATTGAGTGACCAACTTTAATTCACAATTAGGATCGATAATGATTAACTTAATTTAAAGCACAATAATTATTAATTGAGTCATAATTAGGTTGGTGTTAATCCAGAGGCTATTTAAAAATTTATAAATACAAGTTTAAGGTAGTATAGTAGGATGATGATATTTAATATGCATTTATTGCTAAAATGGTTGAATCTTTGCTCACTTTAACATTAGAATACCTCCTACAAATAATTTCTTAATACGATTGAAAATAGTAAAAATATAAGGAATTAGACCAACTATGACCTAAAAAAAATTAAACAACCAACTTAGAAAACTTATAACTTTAACCTCACAAACTAAAACATGTTAAATTATTTTATTAACGTGTTACAATGGGAGTCAATGTCTACATTTGTATACAAAGAAAGAAATTAATTTTTATAATAAAAAATTACTTATTAACATGAGAAGAAGAAAATCCGTTGAAAAATGCTAAAAGATATTTATTTTCATATTCTAACCTTGACATGATTACACTCATCCATGAGAGTCAAGAGTGAAGAGTTCTTGAGTAGTAATGAACATTCAACATTTCATTTTACTTAGTTTAGTTAAAATATTTCATTTGATATGATAAAATATTGGAATCCCTCAAGTAAGTATTCATGCCAGAATCAATATGATCATAAATACCTTCTAAAAGTGAAAAATTATGCAGGAAATAAATTTGGGTGCCTTGAAGAACCTTCAGTCACTTCAGAAACTCACCCTACCAATTTTCCTTTTATCTTGTCAATAATGGAACGAAAAACAATATTCTATGCTCACCTAGTCAAAATTGGAAAGTCAAGGTACCAATCAATTCTTTTGATCTAAAACCAGTAATAGAAATAAATCTTTCGACTATCTTCCTTGACACAATCTTACAAGCTAAAAATCTGATTTTTGTTTAAATCAACAAACAAGAAAGAATACAAGACCTTATATTCACTTGACTTTTAAGAAGTGGTGACTGTGATAAATAGAAGATAATCATTAGTGAAGAAAATGTGAAATATGTGGTTAATTAGTAGGAATACCAATTGGCTACCATTGATTTACTTGCATTTCTACCTTAGCAAGCAAAGCAATATTTCCTAATCATACGAAAAAGATAGGAAGCATAGGAATTCCCTGTCTCATCTTAAACCTATAGAAGAACATACTTTTGTAAATATTCCATTTTAAGAGAGAATAGATTATTGGATTAGAGGTAGTGTCATGTTATTTTATTTTGTATGAACAATTAATGATTATATGGTAATCATTTTCTCTCTCTGGTCAAAACTCCAAAAGTGATATCTAAATTAAGTTTATTGTAGTGATTGACTTAGATAGAATCAAAGACATTTTCATTATGCTAAAAAAAGTTAAGGTTAAAAGAATTTTTTTTAAATAAATGAAGATGTTGTTATAAAATAATGGTAGTAAAACTTAACTCACACGAAAGACGGTTAGAAATTTAAATATAAGTTAAAAATCTTATATTAATTGAATAATATATAAAAAAATTATAAATATTAAACTATAAGATTTTGTGTTAAAAGGATATGATAATCTCTTATATAGATTTATTTTCACCTACTAATCATGAATATTTATAATATTCTTTTAAAAAATAATATCCCAACAACAAATCTAGACCATTTTGATAAAATATTCAAAATCCATAAAACTATCATACTTTTCCTAGATTAAAAATATAAATATGCGTATCATTAAAACACTTTTTAGATTTAATCAGGGCTTTGCTTTTATTCTTTTTAAGCCATTATACTTCTCTTGAACATATACAAGAGAAGTTGTCTTTTTATCACACTTGACCATAATGTTCTCCGTGAAAAATACATGTTATTAGTAAAAAAAATTGGTTTATATTTTAAATTCAATTTACACCTTTTAAGGAATTTTATAAATATGCAACCAAAAATAATAAAATAAACTAGTACAATTATTTATATACTAGGGAACATAGAGATGCTTTATATCTGTGTTTATTTATATATAAAAATATAATTTAATGTATATAAATAATTTTATAAAAATAATGATAAACTATATTATTATTTTTAGTTAGGATTAATACCGTTACTTTTAATCTAAGAATGTTATCACTATGTATTTTATTTTATCAAATAATAAAGCTGTTTTAATTTAATAAAGTAAAATTGTTTCGTTAAAACTAATTATTTTTAAATTTTCAAATTACATGATAATTTTTTTTTATAACTTACGTATTTTGTTGTGTATTATTTTAAAAACTTGTAAATTTTGATTTTAAAAATTAATAACATTAAGTAAAAACAAACTAGCATTGAGAAAACAATTAAAATTACAAAGAAAACTGTTAAAGGCATAGAAAATAATGAAGATCCTTCAGCTTGAGGCTTCGAAACCTATGTAAAAAAATGCATGAAATGTAATACAAAAGTATCATATAAAATTTACAAATATATCAACAGCTTTAGAAATAGTTTTAGTTTGACGGCAAATACGAAAAAAAAAAAACTTAATAAATGGACCAGGCAAAAGATTGTAAGATAAATTGAAGATTTATTTTTGTCCTATCAATTAATTTCATTTATTACCTAAAGGGGTTTAGATTCTATACATCAGTTGGTATGTTTTATAAAATAATATATTTTTCAAAATAAAAGTAATTTCTTATATTAAAATTATTTTTATTAATATAACTTAAATTTAAAAACATTATTTAGTTTTTATTTTTTAAACAGGCTAAAATGGTTAATTGATGTAAGACCAGATTTCTTTAAAAAATTAACTAGACCAATCTCATACAATAGTTTTAAGTGCTGTGTTAAGCTGTAACAAGTCAACTTATTGAACAATTCTAAATAGGTTTTAATTGCCTGCACTCCTATGATTTCTTTTTGTACCATCGTGGAGTGTGTTAAAAATCCAAAATGTAAAAAAAAAAAAAAAAAAAATATATATATATATATATATATATATATATATATATATATATATATATATATATATTACAATAGTGATATTTTTTAATGTAATAAGTGTAAAAAATTTATAACTTTCATTTGTAAAAAAAAATGGTTGATCGTGTAGATGAAAATGTACATGTAGAAGATGCACATAAGAGTGATGAATGAGAAAGGATTTCTTAGGAGACAATAGGTACATATTTTTTGTTAATATTGTTAATAAGTTATGCTAATGACAATGTTAAGACTTTGTGAGGATTATGGGGTAAGAAATAAAACTTATTTAATTATCATACTTATTATGTGTTGAGAAGGGAGTTTCTTTGCGTTAAGATTTGAATGTTGATTTTGTAGAATTCTAGGATATTAAAAGTTGGTTTCTCATGGACAAAGGTAAAATAAATTTGGGGTCAACATAAGCTAATTGGGGTTTTGACGCATAATCATAGTTTGTTTCTCTTTTATAATGTTATTTTTTATCATTACTATTAATTATTTTATGTTAACAAAATCAATTTTTCTTTATTTTTCAACTTGTTTAATCCTTTGTTATAACTTTTGTAAGTAATGGAATATTTGTTACTCTTATATAAGTATAATATCTATAATTTTTTGTCAATTATTTAAACACAAAACATTTTGGTTAAGTCAAGTAGGAAGAAAGTTCATATGAATGTTGAATATGAAATTTCTAAACGATAACTTGTGTTGGGAACCATTAGGTTCATGTCCAACATCATGAAGTATAAGAAGGTTTTTTTGTTAGAGTTAGGCACCACTTGCTAGTCATGCTCACTGTCAGACATAAATTCACTAAGGCCTGATGCCATTTGGACAAAGGCATACATTTCATGCCTTTACATGCAGATCCTAACTTATAATAGCTTGCATTGGGTATCACTTTTGTTGTCTGCTAACAAAAAAAGAAGATGAACATCTTGTTTCAATAAAGAGTTTTGATGATAATGACTCATGGAGAAATGGTGAAGACTTAAATAATGCTTAGATATAAGACATACATTCAAGACGTAAGAATGTAATTGTTGACGTCTTGTAACGTGTGTATATTATTTAAGTTAGTTCAATAGTCAATAGGCAAAACCCAAATAGCATAACACTCAGAAAAAGTTTTATTTTTCATAAAAACCTTTGCAATAATCTATCCAATTAAAATCAAGTTTTTTCATAAGAATATCTCTAATAATCGATTATAATTGTTGGCAATCAATTATCATAGCGAGGAATATTTTTTTAGAAAGGTTTATGTGATAATTGATTATCACTTGAGATAATCGATTGTCAGACAATTGTGACCAAACTCTTTGAATTCTTAATCTAATTTTCAAAAGAGAAACTTTGTATATTTTAGCTAAACCTAGTTTCCAAAATAACTTTTCTTTTCAGAGGTTTATGTTGTGCTGCCAAAAGAAACTCACTGTATTTTGAAAAGGGGTTTTGTAAAACCTAATGTGAGTAGAGTGAAAACTTTCACTAAGTATGTCTTAAGTGATTGAGTGCTTTTGTTATGGCTAGAAAAAAATGTTCATGCTTTGTGTGTTCAAATGAGGTGTTGTTCA